TCAGCTACAGTGGCAACAGCAACCAGATGTGGGGCGGGGAGCGGCATCACCAATACGAGCAGCACTGGTACAAGGACCACCACTATGGGGACCGGCGATCTCGTGGAGAGCCGCACCGCAGCTCTGGGAACTACAGACCAAATAACCTCTCCCGCAAGAGGCCGTACGAACAGTACAGCAGTGACCGAGACCACAGAGGCCACCGGGATTATTACGACAGGTAATTGTAGTTCCTCTCAGGGAGGCTGGCAGGGGTTTGCAGCAGTGCACGCAAGCTTCCTCAGAATCGTTAAGGTTGGAAAAGACCTGTAAGAACATCCAGTCCAACCGTCACCCCATCGCACCGTGCCCACTAAGTCACGTCCCTCAGTGCCATTTTCCTTGGGGAGCTGACCTCCATCCACCCGTTTTCTCTCCGCAGGCACCACCACGACTCCAAGCGCCGACGATCCGACGAGTTCAGGCCTCAGAATTACCACCAGCAGGATTTCCGACGGATGTCTGATCACAGGCCGCCCATGGGGTACCATGGCCAAGGACCTTCGGACCACTACCGGTCCTTCCACACAGACAAACCGGGAGACTACAAACAGCCCCTTCCTCCACCTCACCCTTCCATATCGGACCCTCGCTCGCCCCCCTCTCAGAAATCTCCTCATGATTCCAAGTCGCCTCTCGATCACAGGTCGCCTCTGGATAGGTCGCTAGAACAGAAAAACAATCCAGACTATAACTGGAACATGAGGAAAACGTAAAGCGACTGAGAAGGGGGGGAAACACATCTGGAAAGACTTGGATGCAACAACCAGAAACTCTGAACATGCTGCTATCATCTTGCTGGGTCAAGGAGGATTTTGGAGGAGCAGGTGGAGGAAGACTCAGTTCTAATTTGGGTTCCCATTTTGTTTCCCCCCCTTTCTCTCATTGAACGTTGGAAACAGACTTGCCTCATTCTTTTTCTTTGGTTTGTTTTCCCCAATCCGACGGACACATGGTGAATTTTCCTCAGCCACAGTGTTTCCTCAAAACTGAGAAGGCGGATCAGTGCTGCTTAGGATTGTGCCAGAAGGCTGTGTGCCTGCTTGGTCTTGATGTTACGTGACAGATGCTGCTTTGGGACTGGGGATAAACTGGTTGGGCTGGGCTTTGTGTGTAACCAGCATAGGTCAATGGATGGTATATTCCAGGAGGGATAGGAGATTCCCTCAGCATCCAAGCTGTTGTTGTCACAAGGGCTTGGTTGAAAGAGGAACTCTGTGTCCCTACAGTGACTCCAAAGGAGTTGGATCCATGCTGGTGACAATCCATCATTTTTCTGGACTCATTATCATTTCTCGTGTCTTTATCCATTTCAAGAAACTGGCTCTGCTCTGTCTGCCATTGTGTCCACTGCCACAGAAGAGCAGAGGGGGATCCAGGGCTGGAATCAGCAAATCTTGACTCTGGGAGACTCTGAGATATGTGAAAAAAGGCAGACTTCTTGTGTAGCAAAGGCTTATTTCACTTCCAACAAGTAGGAAAGAAAGTAGGGTGAGAGCAGTATTTCCTCATGGACAGGGCACAGGAATTCGGAACAAGACCCCTCTTCTCTCCTGACATGGGCAGCTTGGATATCCAGGAATTAACACAGGTGCTGGCTGGGAGCTGTGAGTTACCAGGACAAGAGATGGCTCTTGGCATCTGGGGACCCTGAAGCTCCTAATTCTGGGCAAGTCATTTCTCTGTGTGCTTCATAAAATGGTGATCACAAACCTTTACTACAACCAACAGATAAGGGGTGGTCGCACAGAGTTGAATGGCAGTGCTGTGAGCTGATCTCTGTCTGGGAATGGTCACACCTGTCACCTTTCTGCCACCGTTCAGCAGTCCAAGTTGGAGATGTGCCTGCGGGCTTAGCACTTAAGTGAGGAGGAAAGAAAAAAAAAAAAGAGGAATTCAGGACTTGGTACTTAAAAATTCCTGGTGCAGATGTTTTAGAGGCCCAGCGTGGCAGAGGGAGAAGAGGGGTTTGCAAGCCCAGCTCAGCGGGCAGAGCAAACATTCCTCCAAGTGTTGGAGTCATTGCAAATGATACAGAACAGTGTCCAGCCGGCAGTGCGGGGAGCAGTTCTGCACAGGTTGCTGATCAGAAGCCAGTGTGGTCTTTGTCAGTAGAACTGCATCCCTGCAAAGAACAAGGCTCTCTCAACAGCCAGGCTGCCCAGAGCGTGGTGTCTGCGGATGCTTTGTCTCCCAGAGTTCAGTATTAAAGATCAGGCCGTTCCAGGCTGCTCTTCTTGGTGGGGGGCAGAAGTTGAGGCTCTGTTAAGATGCCAGTATATGACCTTAATAAGCTGTGATGTCCTTTCCCTGATAGTCTGAGGGGTGTTGAGGGCTGGCCTTCCTGCTCCAGGTGCTTTGGAAAGCACACACAAATCAACACTAACCCCCATGTGTCCACGCCGTGCCGGAGGCGTTGAGGCAACGCGTTGCTGCTGCCTTTCTCACTAAGCTGTGATTGCACTTGCTGTGGTATTCTACAAAGAGGTCCTTTCTTTTCAGAGGTATTAGCTTTTAAAGTAAAATTGGAAGAAACCTCACAGGGGCAAGGAGCAATTGCTCTTTTCACGTTCACACAGTGGTGCTATCATGATGGAGAGTTTGTGCCATACAAGCCGTAGCAAGAGGCAATACTGGCCAGACCAGTGTTACAGTTGGTGCAGGATAACTTCAAACTTCCAACAAGAGGCACTTCTGTGCCCGTGCACGAAGGGTTCTGTTTGTCCCAGGTTCCAGGCATGAGGTGGTTTGGGTTTTCTTTCTTGAAACCAGTGCAACAGCAAAAGCTTTGCTGTAGCCAGCAAAGAGTGGTCCCCACAGTCACATCGTTCTGCTACTGAACGTGGTTACCTGGCTACCTGGTTTTGCTCACTCACAGTGGATGGCTCCTCACTGGACTGCGCGTTCATGTGTTCATTTGCAGGGAAAGTCTTCCCCAGGTGTGCGTGCACACATTTTATCCCCTCAAAATAGGGACCAGACGTAGTCGCTTGGTGTGAGTGGCATTGGAGGGGACAGATCCACAGCCATAAACGTCACTGCGGTGTCTGTGTCAGCACCTGGTGCAGCTCTTCCTTCTGAGCCAGCTGTGGCGTTTCCTCTCTCCTCTTTGCAGGAAAAAGTAGCAATGTGTTGGGTTTGTTTGTTCATTTGTGTGTTTGTTGGTTCGTTCGTTCATTCGTTTGTTCATCCGTTTGTCTTCTGAAGAACGTTTTTCAGCCTGAGCCCTGGGAAATGTTGTGAGTTCAGCCCATGGAGTCCTGCAGAGCAGACAGGCCGTGCGGTGCCCAACCGAGGTGGCTCTCTGAGGTCCCTCACGTGAACAGTTTAAGTGACCCCCACACAAATATTTTTCTGCTTTCACTCATTTCCTCCCCACCTCCACCTCCCTCCAGGGAGAGAAGGACTCTTACTGTAAAAGTCTTTTAAACCTGTTGACTAAAAAAACAGTAATTAATATTAATTTATATTTGTGGGAAAAAAAAAAAAATGCCACTGTCCTAGTGATTTCTGATGTAAATATGTTGTTTATATAGTATGTATTAAATTTTCCTACATTGTAAAACTGCTGTACTTTTGATTCTTGTATATTAAAAAGTGTTCCTGAGGTTTTCAGAACTGTGCCAGACTGGATGCAATGCGGTGGGTGCTGAAAACTGGGGGTGTCACAGGATTGTGGGACCCTTCTCTGCATGCCAGGATGGGTATTTTCACTGTGCAGCAATAAGCATGTCCAAGTTGTTCTTCTCAGCTCTTTTATGTAATTTTGCAGCCTCAGGTGATAGAGGAGGGGTTGATCCAGACTCGGAAACCCCTTGGGATGGGAATTTCCACCTGATCAGGAGAAGCTGTGCCATTTCCTCGCTGGTTTCCATCCAGGATGATGGTGATGTTTATCCAACCTTCTGCTCTTTGGGATCTTTGTGGGTACACAGTCCTCTTTTTGACCCTTTATTGGGACAATTCCCCTTTCTATGTTCCCTGTTCTTTGGTGGCATTCTCTGCTCCTTCCCCCTCTCCCCAGCTGCGATGCGATGGGCTCTGCTTCACTTTGCTTTTTCCCCTCCACCCGTTCACACCGAGTTCCCCAGCGAGGCACAGCGCAGGCACTGAAGCCATTTCTGCCGAGTTATAAGAGCTCATTGTAAAAAGGGCTTTTGCTTTTCACACCTGCAGCCGCGGCGTCCGCCCCTTTCCAGCCTCTCTTCTGCTGAACCGAGCCAAGTTTCGACCGGGAGTGAAATTTCATGGCTGAGTTACGTGCCCCTGAAAAATGGGTTTCCTAATGGAAAGAATGATGGGCTGTCAGAACGGCCAGGGGCTGGAGGCCCTGCAGCGGGGCCGTGGGAGGCGGGCTGCCGTCCTGCCCTGAGCACAGCGCCGTGCACCCAGCCGAGCCTGCGGGTCTTCGTTCCGCGCTGCCTCGTCTCGTAGGCAGGGAGAAGGTGGAGAAGCTCGGGGCGGACGATGCCGCAGGTAAGGATTTGGGCACGGCGGTGTAAAGTCAGGCTGATCCGCTCACAGACCATCCCCAGCCCAAAGGGATGGAAGCCCGAAGCACGTGCACTCCGCCGATGGCCACAACCGCCCTCGGCCGTGTCAGGGCGCAGCGCAGCGCCCGCCGTTCCCCAGCATTTCCCCTGCCCGCCCCGTGCCTGGAGCCGAGCCCCGCCTCGCGTCAGGCCGCGCGTTCGCCGCGTGCCGTGGCACAGCCGGCCCTGCAGGGGGCGCCCGCTTCCCAGCAAAAAGCCGCCCGGGGGGATCGCGGACCTCGTGCTGCCCTGCTGGCGTACGGGAGCTGCGGGGAGCCGGCATGGGGCGAGATCCGCACGGTTGGGCCAATTCCAGCGCAGGGATGAGGTGTGAAAGGCTCCTCGGATTATGGGTTGAAGCGAGCTGCTTCGGGGAAGGGGCAGAAATGGGGCAGCGAGCGGCGAGCAGCACCACAGAACACACCGGGAACAAAACGAGACCCACTGATTTATTGTCAAAAAAACCCTCAAACTTTACTTGCGTTTCTCTCAATAAATAATTTACAGTATGTACAGGCGGTGACACTCCGTGGGTCTGAGCGCAGGGAGGTGGGGACCATCCCGTCACAGCCCTCCCTTCCCTACGCCTTTTTGTTTCCATCGATCGGGTCTTTCTTGGCCACACTTCACCTCTAAGCAGAACTGGGTCGAACACAACCAAAATAAAGTGCTTCACTGTTTGCTTCTAAAATAGGGATACCCCAACCACCTTCTAACAGCCGACCACCAGCTGGGCTGCTCACCCCAACAGCAGGACTGAGCCATGCGGTAATTAAACAGGCTTTCCTTGGCTGGAAATGACCCTTGATGGGTTATTAGGGGAGGTCTTATGGGGTGGATGTACTTGTTGGCACGCTGTGGGTTGGTCAGTTAAGACCACATCGCACCACGGCTGTTACCTATGGGGTAGCAGCAAGAGACGGACGTTTCCTCTGAGTGAAAAACTCTCTGCCTTTCAAAATGTGGCTTTTGGGTTTCCAGGAGACAAAAGTCTGGTTATTTAGTATAGCAAAAACGTCCCCATCAGCCTTGCTGAGCAGTCAGCATGTGGGGAAGCCCAGCAGCCCAGCAGTTGGTCTCCTCAGTGCCGTCAAACTGCGATATCCTTATTTTAAAACCTGCCTAAACAGAATTCCTGGGGCACCAGCAAACAAAGCAAGGAGCAAAGTAGTAAACACATCTTTTTTTTTTTTTTTTTTTCCTTTTTGTTTCTTTTCTTTCCTTAAACGTTTAAAAACCAATTACATCTCATCTGTACAGTCACACGAGATCAATGCCAGGGCTCTATATATTAAAGAGACAATATAAATTACATCCATTGACACAAATTTTTGCATTTCTCTGCTGCTTTACAAATGGAGCTCTAGAGCTGTTAGGACACAATGAAAAGTCACGCTGAGTATTTACACCAGGCTGCCTCTTGGCACCAGTTCTGACTGCCAAAGGTCGCCTATTCCCACCTCTTTTGGTGCTAGCTTGACTCGTCATGCCCAGAGACCTCCCTTGAGCAGGACGTTCCCCCAAGAGTGATGCATGTTTGGGGGATGACTTATGGGAAATTCCCTCTGAGGAAAGGAGGGAAAATCCACAAAGAGGTCTCCACGGTGCAGACCAAAGGTGGTCTCGTTTTGTTCAGTGAGCAATGAGGTGAACCACAGAGGAATACGGGAAGGAGAAGGGAAGCACTGTGTGGTGGGGGAAGGAGATTACCAATGGTCTCGAGGGAGGGAACAGACATCTGGGGGCAGATGGGGAGGGGGGGCCCTCTGCTGCATCCTGTCTCCTGGCTGAATTTCTAACATTGCCCCATTCCAGAGACAAGCCCAGATGGGCTTAAGGTGCAATGGGTCTGCAATGGGGTTGCAAGTCATGACCCTGGGAGAAGGAGTGGAGCAGAGATCTAGCAGCAAACAGAGAGGGATGCTCCTGCTTCAGGACCTGGCTGATCCACGGGCAGGTAAGGGGATGCGGGGCCCGAGGGGGTGCAGATGGGGTCTCCCACTGAGCAGCCTCCCCAGTGCCAGTTTTAGGGGAGCAAACAGCACAAGGAGCTCGTCTGACACTGGGCACAAGTTAAAGAAAATGCTTGAATACTGGCCAGGTTTCTCCTGTTGCAATCAAGAGTCCTCAGCGGGTCCGGGTAGAGACAAGGGAGCCAGGAATAAAACTGTGGAGTGAATCAGTGATCAGGTGAAGTGGCTAAAATAGCAGATGCCCTTTGAACCACAGAAAACACAAGCTGTAGCTTGAGGATCACGGCCTCCTTCCACCATGATACCTTTTTTCTTTCTGCGGTCAGCCCCACCATTTTGGCCCCTGCCTGCTGCTCTGCATTGCTTCCTGCAGCGATGGGGCTGCAAAAAGAAGCACACCCCAAAAAGTGGAGCCCAGCCACATTACGCTTGTGGCTCCCTAACACAAAGCCACGTTCATACACGCCAACATCACAGTCACCATGAGCGTTTTGGGACCGTGGAGCAGCGGTGCAAGGAGGTGGGGGCTCCCCAGCACTCATGCTACAGAGAGGAGGAGGATGAAGGTGAGGGGAAGTGGGGAAGGACCACCTGAGGTGTAGTCCAACAGAATCTCCCAAACGTCCTCAGGGCATATAGTGTTCCTCCAGGGCAAGAGCTGGGGCGATGAAAGACTGGGTGCTGGAAAGGAGCTGAGATCTGAGGACGATCCACGTGCTCCCTGTCGGATCCTTTTTCCAATCTCTCCTTGTCCAGTGCAGTCATCTTGTCCCTTGTCCCCTCCTGCTCCCCTTTCCCCACAGCGTGAAGGAGCAAAACTCTATAACAAACCCAACCAACACTGACTCAAACTCAGCAGTGCTACCCAGAGGGCAGGGAGGGCCCAGGGATGCTCCGAGGGAGCCGCGTTTCCCGGGGCTAGGGCCCGTGTCCTTTCATAGAGGTGCAGTTTATCTTTGTTGGAGTGAAGCATCTTCACGTCCTCAAAGGCATAGTAAGCAGCCAGCATGAAGTTGACATCCCCCGTAGTCAGGAGATCAAAGACGCAGGACTGGAAGTAGAGGTCCTCTACGGGCAGCTTTTCCCTGCACTTGGCCGTGGCGGATTCGTAAGTGAAGGCCTCAGGGGGGGCCGGCAAGCTGGGCCCCTTCCTGCGAGCACGGCCCTCGGCAGCCTGAGCCAAGCGGAAGGTCTGGAAGTCAATCTGTTGGTTGAGCGGACAACCCCGGAGGCACAGGTAGAGGCCCTGACTGTCCCGGTCCTCCACGGCGTTGACCACCTCCTCCGGCATACGCACGGCGAAGGTGAGGTAGCGGCCCACCTGCCTCACCACGATGGTGGTGCCGATGTACTTGGCCTGGATCTCGATGTGCTGACCTGACACCTTCTCGGTGATCTTCAGGCTGTTGGCTCCGTGTTTGTCGCCGCCGTTCTTGGAGCCGTCAGCAAAGGCGGCAGGGAGCTCGTCCATCTCCGCCTGGTACACTTTCTGCTCCACGCATTCCTGGAAGCTCTTGAAGATGATGGTGAGCTGTGGGAACAGAAGGATAAAAAGGAACGGGGTTACAAGCTGAGAGACCGCCTGAGAGCACACAGCCACCGCCAGGATCAAGGTGTGAGGTGAAAAAGCTGCTGCTCGACCTAGCTAGGACTATGGCCCCCACTTCAGGGGTGGGCACTTTCTCTTAAGAAGCTGCCCCAACTTTTAGACACGCAGACAAGATAGTGCTCCAATTTTACATGCTCAAATATGGTCATCCTGCTTCAGCATGGAGGTAAAGGCACCACGCACTGATGCCAAGACCCAGAGCCTGGACTGAACACACCACCTGGAGCTGTGCTGTTATCTCCAGGCCCCACGCAGAGCTCCCATGCAGCTGGAGCTGGCTGCAGGATCACCAGGCACAGGCCTGTGGTGGCATGCCCATGCATGCAGCACTGTCTCGCCCCCAGGGCCTGGCTCCAATAGGTGGTAGAGTTTCTCTGGCTCCCATGGTATTCACATCCCACAGTCCCAGCCTCCTCCCTTCCCCGGCTTTGTAGACGAACGGGAGTTTTTCCTTTGGACCCCTGAACGTGTTGTGCTCCATCTCAACCGCACGCATTCAGTATCTTCAAGCAGGCGTGATACAAAGGGGAAAATGGAGGCAACTCAAAGGCCTGGGCTGAACACGTGGGTGGCTCCCAGCCGCTCTGCTCCCAGCATAAGCCCAGAACTGCCCCTGCCCCTCTCTCCCACCACTCTTCCACTGAGCCCCAGATGCTCCCAACCCAGTGGCAGCTCTGCTGTCCTCTCCTCGGCCGTGTCCTGAGGCACCACCTTGCAGCACCACCCCTCCCACAGATGTCCTGCTGCCTTCTCTGGATCCTACCCTGTCTCTGGCTGGAAGGCATAAGGGTAAGTCACAGACTGTCAAGCAGAAATACAAAGAGTGCCTTGGAGGAAGAGGCTTTCCTTTCAACAGCACATGGTCCACTATCAGTGGCCCAGGAATGCTTCCCGTAGCTCGTGCTGCAGATCTCATGACTAATCTCTTGCCACCACAAGCCCGTGAGGCAAATAACGGGTGAAAAGGCTCAATTAAAATGGTGACCTTGGGATCCAGACTAGAATTGAAGGTCCCTGTGTCCTCGAGGACCACCTCCCTCCAGCCAGATTTAACTGCACTGCTTCAGCAAGTTTTTAACACTCTTTGGTAAATAAGGAGTTGCAAGCATCAGCAATTATCTCTAAGGATGTTTATTAGGGACATGTCAAAACCAAAATGTCAGCTTCAGCTCAGGCTGAAACAGTCACATCCAGAAGTGGTGGCTGTTGGGGTTTCTTTGGACCTCAGGTGTCCCTGAAAAAGTGCTGCCATCTTTCCCCATCTGCCTGTGCACAGACATCTGCAGTCCCTCAGGAGGGGACTTAAATTTGTCATCCCCATTCTTTGGTCTGTATTGCTCCCTAAGTTACAGCAGCCATGGCTCTAAATTGCACCGGGAGAGGTTCAGGCTGGATATGAAAAATAGTTTCTTCTCAAGAAGTGTTGGGTGCTGGCACAGGCTGCCCAGAGAGTGGTGGAGTCACCGTCCCTGGAGGTGTTCAAGAACGGTGGTGATGTGGCACTAAGTGACATGGTTAGTGAACATGGTGGGGATGGGTCAATGGGATGATCTCCGTGGTCTTTCCCAACCTTAATGATTCTATGATTCTATCCCATCTCTCTAACTGTAGAGACAGATGAGGAAAATCTGGATGAGCAGCTGATATTTACAGCCAAACACCCGCTTGCAGAGGAACTCCCACTCTTATCCTCCCCAAGGAGATGGGCAACTTGTTGAAGAGACAGCTTTTGGGAAGAAATGACATTCGGAAGCACCTGCACCCTGCTCACGAGCTGTGCCCAAGGCTCACCTTGCTGGTGGCGGTCGCTGAGGAGCCAGGCAGCACCGGCGTGTTGGTGACCTGGACGTTCAGGTAGTTATTATCAATGAGCGGCCAAGCCCCTTGCACCTTGCAGGTCTGGAAGGTGTCTGTGAAAGTCCTGAGGTGGGGATCCCCGAAGAGCCCGCAGTGGGTATAGTTGGGAGCTGCCGAATGTTTGTGAAAGCTCTTCTCATAGTGGCAGATTTCGGGGCTGTCAGAGCGCTCCTGGCTGTCCCCGGGGGGCAATGTCCGGAGGCGGGGTTGGGACGTGGGTCCATCCTTGGAGCAGTTGTGTTGCACCATGAGATCGTCTATGCCATGCACGGCCGAATGGTAGGCCAGGTCCCCCCTGCAGGTGCGGGCGGTGCGACGGGTGCAGTGCGCGTAGGCGCGCAACGCCGTGCAGAATTCTGGGGTTTCCTCTGCGCCCAGGTGGTGCGAACCTGACGTGGCCGCCCAGAACTCAGAGTTGCACTTGAGGATCTTGCATGGAGACGTCACTGCGAGGCAGGGAGAAAACACAACGGGGTCAGTGCTTGCGTGGTCCCCACCTTGCACGTCGTCGAGGTCCAACTCTACCCCCCAGCCGGGTTCCCGCAGCCCAGCCCCATCACATTGGTTGCACCGCGTGACGTGGCCTCGCTCACCAGACGTGACCCTCTCACATGACCCCAGCTCTCATGCATCAAAGCCAAGGAAGCCAACAGAATGTGCCCCGATTTAAGCCGAGAAGGGAAAGAACACCCGGCCTTCAGATGAATGTTCCTGGGGGAAAACAGGGTGTTGAAGAATGGGACTCATTCATTAACAGGATAAGGCAGGATCACTAATGTGGTGGGAGAAGCAGTGGGGTTCTTAATGTGGTGGGAGAGATGCAATGGGGGTTTTATGCCCTTTTAGCACTTGACATTGAAAACGGTGCGGGGCAAATTACCGCGTGTTCTGCCTCATCTTCACCACGGCAAAAATCCACAGATGGGAAAACCCATCCCCAGCAGAGTCACTGCGCCCCAGACATAAAGTGATACCAGCACCGGGCAGAGCGGGATCCGAGCTCAGGCACCGCGCTGCCAGGTTTGGTGCTGCAGCTGAGAAGCCGTGCACGAATCCAGCAGCACCCCATGCTGCAGTGCACCCCCAGGTGCTCAGGGAGCCCAGGGCGGGAGGCAGGAGGCCCGTTCCCCACCACGACCCATGCAGAGAGGGAGCGGGAGGCTGACGCAGAGGAGAAAAACCGGCACAGCAGGGTGCAGGCTGCCAGCCGCCCCGCTTGCTGTTGCCCACGCGGAGAAGCCGAAGGCAGCAGAGCCTCTGCCGGGCTCGGCAAGCTGGAGGAAGGGAAAGGAAATTTGGATCCTGCTCTTTTTGTTATTTTTTAATTCCCCTTCCCAGTGCCTATTCCCCAGGGTTGTGTGGCTTCCCTGGAGCGGAGCTGAACGCAGCTGTGCAGAAGCACATGGCGTTCACTGAACAGCATGCAGACACTGCTTGTGCCAATCCAGAGCCCTGCTGGGTGAACCCAGGCTCGCACCACTTAACATTCATGGTGCTTTCCTTCCTCTCTTCTTCATCAAACCCCTTCAGAGGGCTCGGAGATGGGATAAGGCACAAAAGGCAGCAGAGCAACAAGAGAAAAAGCCCCACTATTTCCAGATGCTTTTGCATGTGCATATATTCCTGTCTTGGCGCTTGTTTAGAAGGAGGCTGGCAACGCATCTGTGCCAAAATCATTTCACGTTTGTTTAAAAAGAAAGTTACAAAACCCAGCATTGTTGCAGGGAAAACAGCGTGTTTTAGTTTTAAACACTGCAGTGTTGGAAACCTAAACACAGTCAGTGCTGGAAAATCAGAAAGAGAGAGCAAAGCTATAAAACACTCAGCAGTCCGGCTCTTGGGCTGCGTGCTCTTTCCAAGAAGAGTGAAGTGCAAATAGGAAACGGTGACAGGTTCCTCACAGCTTTAAAATTCTTGTTTTAATAAGCACAGATGCTAGCAACAGCTCTGAGAACCCAGGAGCTGTTTCAGCTTGGCAGTGTCCAATTTAAACCTGCAAGAGGCACTGTGGAAACCCTCGTATCCCGCTGTAACTTGCCATCGGCTGGAGGTGACCTGAAAACAAGCTTTGGACCTGAGACATGGGCTGACACTTCTGCTGTGGTTGTTACAGCTCATACTATAGCTGCACAGTGCCCGAATGCAGAGGGAGAAGGGAAGGCTGGTGCTGGCATTCCCAGTGGAAGGTATGAATTAAAATGCACACAGAAATTTGACTGGTACCACTATACTGGTACCACTATCCCTGACGCCTGTGGCACCAGGCAACAGGATCCTTGCTTTCCCATTATGCCTAATGCTTTGCTCAAGGGTGCCCTGAGGCTGCACACAGACAGATGTTGCTGCCCCTGGGAACAACAGGACACATCCCTGGGCATTCAAGACCCCCAGCCCTGGTTCCAGACACCAGGATGTGCTGTACGGAATCTTCAGCAGGAGTGAAGTCACAGCCCATTGCTCAATGACCATTAAGTCCAGCTCCTGGGCAGTTGCTGCTGCAAAACAGCCCCCAACGCTCTGTGCCCAACACATCCCGCACTGCCACACCACTGAGGATCACTCACTTTATAAGGTTCAGGGTTAAAAAAAATAGTAATAATACCCACACTGGCAAGGAAGCCCATCTCTTCCCTCCCTGAGCCCGAAAGGGGGAGCATTCTTCTTTAAGATGTTATCGCTTGGGTTTGGCACCCGTCCCCTTCTCACTGTTTCGCACGCGGCCCCATATAAGGCCACATTTCCAAGCCAGGTGCCGTGGCAGCAGCGCATGGGGCGGTGCACAGCAGGGCTGCACACAGCCGTGCTGCTCCATGGATGTGCCTCTCAGCAGGCTGGTGGTTTGGCAAAGCCCTGGGGGTGCTGCCTCCTCTTTTTGCTATGGTGTGGACTGGCCACGGGGGGCTGGATGGCTGTGGGTTTGCAGGCAGGGCTCGGCGGGAACGGCCTTGCTGTTGGATGCAATGATTGTGCAGGCACCTGTGTGACTCAGCCCTGGGCAAGACACGTGGCTGCCACCACCACCACCATGCTGGGGACACAGGACAGAGCCACCACGGAGGGCAGCAAACGTGTCCTGTTCCACGCCGTGCCCTTCCCCTGGCAGCAGCTTTGGCACAGTCACGCAGGCTGTGCATTTGCACCCGGGCCAGGGAGCGATGTTTATTCAATTTCACATAATCTATTTTCCATCTCCTCACAATGGATCTGTTTTTGAACCACAGATGACTTAGCACAGGAACAAACCCCTCCTGAGCAGGAAACCGAAGAGGCTCTCCAAGCTCTGCATGACACCCTCATCTCTGGGTGACACTGTCACTGTGGTCTGTGGCAAACGGACCTTCAACCTGACGACAAGGTGGTACCAATGACACCTGGCCTCCTCCCTTCTCCTTCCAGGGGCTTAGTGCCATTCAAACAAGGGACAACATTTCCTTCAGTGTCAAGGCTGGCACTCTGGGAAAGTTTAAAGCTAGACAAAACATTCAATGACAGCCACTCTGCCAGCCCAGTGTCTGCGGTTTTTCAAGTGCATTTCCCAGGAGGACTTCTGCAGCCCAAGGTGACCACAGGCTAAAAAGCAATGCCCCTGCTGTGGGAGTTTATCACCTTTACAAATGTGGGTCCTGCTTCTAAGTGGATTTTATCTGCCTTCATTGTAAGGACATAAAAAGAACCAGCGAGTTTCTCCGAAGCAGTAAAAAAAAAAAGTCCGTTAGTAACCAGCATGTGTTTCCCACAAAGATATTTACACACGGCAATCAACTCACTTGTCAATCCTCCAGATAAGCTAAACGGTTTGCACTTTTAAGTTCCCACTGCAAGGTGTTTGCCCAGCCCTGCAATCAGCCTGCTGCCTCCCTTCCCCACGGCAGGCTTTCTGCAAGGCTCACCTCGCCTCTGCCTGTGCACACAGGGATCAGTTCATCCACCAGCCACGGCCATCCATGAGCCATGGCCATCCACCAGCCCCAGCAGTGTGCCTAGCAGTGGTGAATTCACCATATTCCATCAAGTGCTTCCCAAAATCAGCTGCCATCAGAGAATCACAGAAACGTTCAGATTGGAAAAGATCACTAAGATCATCCAGTCCAACCGTGGACCCATCACCCCTGTGCCCACAGGGGATCATGAAGGTTGAGGAAGACCACTGTGGCAGAACCACACTGTGCCCCCCTCCGGCACAGCTCCATGCCCCGCTATGCTGCATGATCTAGGAGTTAAGTTTTCAGGCTTCCTCCACACACACATCCAACTTTAAGAGCCAAACTTTAACCGTCTTCTAATTATCAGTGCCCCTTCGTCAGGCATCAGGTTGCCCAAAATTCATTTACCCAAATCACTCTCCTGCAGAAAACCAGCACAAACCCAACAATTCATCCCTTCTCCTGTAATTTCTCCAGCAATGAGAATTACTGGAAATTAGCTTCTGTAGGCAAAAGCCGGTTCTTTTAAGAGTCTTGGGTGCATGTTAACCAGACCTGTTAATTTTAAAGCGTTCACTGCTAAGAGATGTTGTTTAATATCCTCTTGGTTACTAACGGGCTGGAAAGTATTTCATCACCCACATGTGATGCAAATACATCACCCCGCTCCTTTCCAAATACATGAATTGAAGTGTAGATGTGCAAGCCTCACACATGCAGTAAAAGGCCTTTTCGGAGAACACAGTAAAACGTAATTACCTTTGGCCTCACATCTGAGCACGTAGACTCGGGCTCCTAAACACATATTTATTTAAGTAATCTAAATAAACATATTTATGCCGACACCTCCATAGGAAAGGCACGGCTCTCGGCTCAGTTCGGGGAGCGTGCAGCTCCTGCATGGACATCGCAGGCAGGAGAACGATGGGGAAAGGGCTGCAACAACCACAGCGCTCCTCGAACAACCTACGGAGTGCATCTCCTCCTGCAGATCTCCTCCTGTGAGGTTTTGGGGTCCGGATGGGGATGGGGATGGGCAGCATCACCCTCGGCCCAGCTCCGACCCCGAGCTCCGCCAGCGACCTCCTTTGAACTGCTAATCAGAGCCAATCTTGCCGAATAATAGCCTGCTTATTATTGCCTCGTTTGCATAACAAAGAGGCCCAATAAAACTGATTTGACTGTGCTCAGAGGGGGTGTGAAAGATCAGCTCTGAGAAAAGAGCTGCAGGAATGCAGCAAACTGCTCCAAAGCCTCAACCCAGGAAGAAAGACAATGCAATTTGCCATCAAGAAAAGCCCAATAGACCAATAAATTACCCATGTGCAAAGGGATTAGATCAGGTTTCAGTTGCGCTGAAGTGGGGGGAGGAGAACCGGGAGGAGGGAACTGCAGGAGAAAAATAAACCTGGCTCTTAAAACGGCTGCAGCTCATATTTTGCAAGGGCGTGCATGGGGAGGTTGGCGCAGCTGAGGCACCTTCGGCGCTGCAGCCTGCATTTCGTGCTCTCTTCCAGAGGCCA